ACTCGAGCCTTCTCCGAGCCAGTGAAAGTGAAGTGGCGGGCCTACCCATCACCTCCTAGGGATGAAATGATTAGCTGTTTCAAGCGCGATCTGATTTCGGGCGGGTTGAAAAACTTTCATGGGGGGAGTATACAGGAATCCTTCCAACCTCTCTCCGGAAAGGAAGAGAGTTCTTTCTTTCCATAACTTTCTCTCTTTCTATCTAATCAAAGATGAACCCATTATAGAGTAGAGTGGGAATTCGCTCTATCAACATAGGTTTTACTCGCCATCTATTTTCATTGTTCAATTCTTTGACAACATGAAAAAAACCAAAAGCTCTGCCTTCCGAAGGTTTCGTGAACCCTCCGAAGCGAAAGATAGCTTCATCCCTGGTACGGAATGTTCCACGAACTCGATAATTAGTAGAGTTAGGCATGCCCACGAGGCCACGATAACAATTAGGTGCATGTGTACTAGTGAATAAGAATTTGGTCTAGTGATAATATCACTTACTGTACACATGTAGGTCACATATTCGAATCTATTCGGTATAAAATAAACATATGTCTCTCACGTATCCTAATCCCGTACTATATATACATCTCCTATACGTATTTAGGGGGTGAACTGTGAAGTATGAGAAGAAAGTAATCATTTCAGTAATAATACGTGAAGAAAGATGCTGTACGCGGTTGAGCGTAGCTGATAATTAAGGAACAATTAATTACTTAATCAATAAGAATTAATAATTGCTGATTCTTCGTGAATTAGCTAGCCATATTTTCACGTCATTGTCACTATCAATTGGTTATGGCCTTATGTTTTTTATTTTATTTTTAATTCCATAATAATTATGATATATCCTTTACAGAAAGCTTTCAGCAGCAACCAAATCATGCATGCACATTTTTGCATTCTTTTATATAATTAATTACTTTAATATGATTATATTATATAATTAGTTGTGCGTAATGGGGTCAAACATTCGGTTGGATTACAACGTTGGAGTAATCTAACTTCATACGTGTAATTTCTCATAGTTATCTTTAATCCCAAATCTCAATCTCTCTCTTCTTTTGCAGGTTGAAGTTTCAAACAAATGGTGCTCCAAACAATCATGCAAATTATGGTATTTGATGTCTAGAATTGGTAACTAGTAAGGTATAATAATCTCGACGCTAGTTAGTAATTACTTCCTCTGTAAATACACGTACGTTTTTGCAAAATGTTTTTTCGCTCCATATTTTTACACCCGTATTAGTTAATCAAGTACGAAATCATAATCAAACAACGGACTAAACTTGTGAAATCTTTCCATTAGTTCTTATCCCTTTGCTTCGAAGGGACAAACAACATGAAGAACATATATATTGGGTTGATCTCATCTACTAATTGGATTGCTTGCACCATCATCCTTTTCCATCCCTCTCATGGATCGACCATGCATATGATTGTCCTTATCACATTTGCTAATATGGAATTTACAAACACATGCATCTTGTATATACAAATACAACGCATACATGCACTTCTCGCGCGAATTTTGATGATTCTTAAAGGTCTTTTAGCTGCTGGGTGTAGTTGAAAAGAAGCGATGTATATTTTTGCAATAACATGTAATTATTCGACAATATATTTTATGAACAATTTTTATGAAATTTTACTCTCGTTCGGACAAAAAAAAATTGAAATCAATTGCTTACATGAAGCATTGATTAATACGATTAATCAATGCTTAATCCAATCAAATACGATTAAGGATTATCCAAAAAAAAAAAAAGAACATACGAGAAAAGGGCATCAAATTCAAAGAGCATTTGGACCCTACAATGGACCATTGGCCACAGCACTTTGAGGATATATATGGATAATGGGATACATTTTGGCTAAACTCCAACGTGGCGAACTCATCTAATAAGAACACACTCCAAAAACATCTTTATACGATCCATCATCCATCATTACCCAACTTGCAAGTTTAAGTTGTTATCAAACAGACACATGGATTTCTCAAAAAAAGCATGTAGTATATATAACATTTATTATTTAAAAATCTTTCGAAAACTCGAGTTATTGGGATTAACTGGTTCTTGACATGGTATCATAGCTTTCTGTAAACTGAGATGTCTTCTGTTCAAATTCCGATGAACCACGTATGTTTTGTTGAGCACGTGGTATATGGACAATTGCAAACTTCAAACTCAAATATGGTGGCTTTTGTTTTATACGGATTCACAACTGAACTTCTGCCAACAGATCGAGTTATTAAGAATCAATTGGTTGTTTTGATTGAGTGAATGTAGGGCCGGATTTGAAGCTTTTAAATTTGATTTTCCTAAGACCGATTAATGTATAATCTCCTTTTTTCTTTTCATCATTGCTTTGTTGAATGATAATGACATTTGCAAATGTCATAGTTAGAATCTTGGGCGGGCTTAATGCACGTTGGTCTTGGACTTCCTTAATTTTTGTGTTAGCCCAATTGACTCTTTAGTGTTTTTGAAGAAACTAATGACTCTTAGGAAAGAAAAATTAATTATTCTTTGATTGGATTTTGAGTAAGAGACAGGTACTTGCGTGGTTCCAGCAGCCACTCATTATTCATGCACGATGGAGAAGTTGTAGAACCAAATCGGTTAGTTTTTAAATTGTGATTTAGGGTTACGGCGTGTAATTCAGGGGTTCGATTGAATTAGGTAGGTTATATATTCGAAAAATTGTGGCTTAGGAATTCACCCAAATATAACAAACACATCCGTTATTCAAATTGTCAATAATGTCATTTTTCGGTGTGTACTAAACCATTCATAATTTTGTCCGTCATTCGATTATAAAAAGTGTCATTCGCGTAACTAATTAATTGTTAAAAGGCACCTTTATTTTGAACAGGCACAACACCAACAACTAGTAGCAATAACAAAAAAACACGAGTTAGTAACACAAGAGGATTCTGTATTCGAAACCTTAATTAGCCAGAGCATTAAAAATAAAACATATACAGAGTATATGTCATTCTAGCGTCAAGCATTTGCCAGACATTTGCCACGAGCCCTCCTTGGCAAGAGCCAGACATTTGCCCCTGCAACCCGCAGGTAACCGAAGACCTTTATGAATAACGAACAAAAATTATGAAAGTAAACGATTCGAACAAACAACTTTTGCTCATTGGTTTCCTCTCTCAATTAAAAGTAATAATAAGTCGTGAAAATTGAGTTAACGTCTGTCGTCGTTAAGAGAAATATTTTAACAAAAAATCCACATGATCAAAAGAGAGAATTTGAAGAGTGCACGAGATTGCTAGTGTGCACCAAATTTACAGGCGGGGATTTGTAGTTTGAGGAACACATGAAGTGAAGCAGAAAAAGAAAGGCAAATCTTCAACATGATTGAAGCTGAGATTGGAAAAAAAAAAAAAAAGAGAGGTTGAGGAGAAAGCAATGGGATCTATCGTGGTGTGTAATTTTTATTGCCACCAAACCGACATTCTGAACAGTATATATGTTTTTCTTCCTGTTACGGAACAACTTCTGAAAGTAAGAATTGCAATGAAATCCCTTATAGTTCATGAATACAGAAAAGGCATCAACTAATAATTAAATTTCACTCCTCCCTTAATTATGTACCAGATCTGTCATTGTTACAGCTTCTTCCAGTTCTTCCTTGTTAGAAACAAAAGGGGTATATCAGTAGAATTGTTGTCCAAAAAAGAATCATGTAGGGATGTGTGAGTATGACTATATTGCTCGAGTATAATCCGATAAGTATCGTCTGGTTCGAGTTTGTGGTGGTTATGGTTCGATAAACATTACTTGCATGCATTTTTAGGTGTGTGTTGATTGCTCTACGAGACGTTATTTAATTCGATAGTCAAATATTGTTAAGTGCAGTGAATGAATGGCGTATGATTTATATTTTATATAAGAAAATCGTTCAACAATCTCTACTTATTGGAATCATTTTGTTCTTGACACGGTATCGCAATCTTTGATCGAAAGGTTTCGCGTTCGAACTTCGATGACTCTCGATATTGACAATTAACTTTAATCTCATGTGTTGACTTTCATTTCGAGCATGCAAAGAAGTGATACACAATTCATATTTGAACATCTCTCGATAACTTAAGTTAATGGGCCAATGAATTCATGGACAAACCTATTACAGTGGGAATTGACTTTGTTACCGAGGTGTGTAAGTGAGGAATTGACTTTGTTATCGAGGACAACAAAATAAAAATAATTTTCTCATAAAACCATGAATCCAATTCAACAATTCATGATGGAATTTAGGGTGGGTGTTGGGTAGGTCGGACGGGTTTCGGCCTCAAACTAATTCACTCGTCTATTAACGAGTTGGTATAACTGTAATCTGCTATCCAGCTCTTTTTTTTTTGTGTGTGTTAGGTTGGGTGTAGAATGCAGGAGACAAAGACTCTTTACACATATGAATTTTACTTCTTTGACAAAGATGTCAATCTTTGTTACTTCATCAACCGATTATAGAGAAAATTGAAGCTTTTTGCAACTTTGATAGAGTTAATTGTTTGTAATTGACATTTCAAATATCCAATGAACATTATACAACATAGCAATCAATTTAATAGTTCAAGCATATTCTTTATTTTTCGCATTGAGAAGTCGATGCCCAATTTGTGATAAAATTAGGAAATATGATTATCGTTTGATAATATAAAAAAAGAAATAACTCTCTGTCATATGAAAATCGAGTGTGGGTCGTTCGAGTGACCCGCAACTCACCCATCATCCTCCAAATAAGTTCGGTATGAAATTGAACGATCCACAATGCATCCACATCAATCACTCAGACACTCACCCACAAATTATTTGCGGGTAGGTCATTCCTAAACCGAGATTCAACCATACACATCCACCCACCCTAATAAGAATCCAACAAATAAATAATAAAACTTTCAAATCTACCATCGACCAAATCCATTACAAATCCTTCCTTTTTTCAAATCCAAACTTATATAAGAATCTTTCATTTTCCCAAATCAAACCAGCAAAATAAGTACATAGTAATTTAACCTAGCAAATTCTACCCTGTAAAAAAAAGGTAAATCGAATTTATGATGGTTATGCGAAGGCAAGACAAAAACAGAGCAACCTTCCTTTCTTGCTACAAAGGCAACACTTACAACAAGAGCCGACCCCACTCATAATCCGACTTCCTATTTTTCTTCACTCATCAATTCAATTGAGAAAAAGGCGCTACACGATCCAACATTCTAACCTCCCTTCTCCTTCAAATTAAAAACTATAAAACGCGCTCACATGGTGGATCCCTTCCCTTCATCTCCTCACCCAGAGTTCTCTCATTACCCTATCTTCCGCATTCCCCTCTTCAGGAAAAATCCCCTCCCTTCTTCTTCACCTTCCTTCCCATTTTCTTATTCAGTATATCGAAGTTCGAGCTAAAGAGGGAAATAGTATTGAATTCCCAGTCGAACTTGCCAAACTACTGCTTGCATTTATAGCCTACCCTATTGTTTATTTCAACGGAGAGGCCACCACTGCCGTTCTTACCAGACACAAAGAAACAGAGTCAGAGAAAACTTAATCATAAACATTCAGAGAGGAAAGGGATTTGGGGGGTTTTTGTTTCAGTATGTTGAGGCCTCTGTTGCTACTACTTCTCTGTTCTACGATTTGGGTTTCTTCAGTCACAGCTGCTGTTACTTATGACAGTAAAGCCATCGTCGTCAATGGAAAGAGAAGGATTCTCCTCTCTGGCTCCATTCACTACCCCAGAAGCACTCCCGAGGTAAGAAAATCTCCCGTCCTTTCACTCTTTGATTTTTGCAATCAAATAGCTTCCTCTGTTTTCTTGCTTTGAGCTGAAAGTTTCGGGCTTTCTGTTTTGGGAATGCAGATGTGGCCTGATCTCATACAGAAGGCGAAGGATGGAGGATTGGATGTGATTCAGACTTACGTCTTCTGGAATGGGCACGAGCCTTCCCCTGGACAGGTAATCTCTTGATTTCCTTTTTTTTATATATCCATGGCTTCCTTGTTTATGACACTGATACTGATTCTTCTTAAAATTTCTTTGTTTGAAGTATTACTTCGAGGACAGATACGACCTTGTGAAGTTCGTGAAGCTGGTTCAACAAGCGGGTCTCTACGTTAATCTCCGGATTGGCCCTTACGTTTGTGCTGAATGGAATTTCGGGTAATTTTTACAAAACCCCAGTTCGAATTTCGCCGAAAAGAAATTCCTTCCCCTGTTTTTCTCAAATGCTCTGTTTTTGTTTTGTTTTGGGGGTGATGCAGAGGATTCCCTGTTTGGCTCAAGTATGTGCCAGGAATCTCCTTCAGAACTGACAATGGACCCTTCAAGGTAATCGGCTGCTCTTTCTTTCTTTTTTCCTGATTGTCAAATTCCTCTTTAATGATCATGAAAACTGACGGATTGTACTATGGGCGGGTCGATGAATTCAATGAAAGGCGGCAATGCAAAAGTTCACAGAGAAGATCGTCAACATGATGAAGCAAGAAAAGCTCTTTGAACCTCAGGGAGGCCCAATTATTCTTTCCCAGGTTAGGCAAAACATATAGAATATAGACAAACTAGCGTTTATCTGCACCGTTTTTTTGGCTATAACCCATTCTCTCATTGGTCATAATTTTTCCTTTTAAAAAAAAAGTTCCTTCCTTTTAATATCAGTAGAATAATCAACGGTCAGCCTGCCAAAACCCAAGTCTCCATCACGAAATCTGGAGATGGGGGGTTTTCCTGTTTTTTACTGTTTGGTATTCAGTTGGTTGATTGTGTTGATGGGTAATGACAGATTGAGAACGAGTTGGACCCGGTGGAGTACGATATCGGCGCGCCGGCGAAAGCCTACGGACAATGGGCGGGTAAAATGGCGGTGGCGCTCAATACAGGAGTCCCATGGATTATGTGCAAGCAAGAGGATGCTCCTGACCCTGTGGTAAAAACTTCTTTCTGGTTTCCCTTCTCCGTCGATCTTACAGTTTTTCTGGGTTTTTTTGTCAGCTTCTTGTTAGTTTACTGTTTCTTTTGCTTTCCTCCTTTTTTTCTGTTGCTGCTGTTACAGATGCTTTAAGAACTGTATTTTGCCTTCATTCACCAGCAACGACACGCTTACTTTTTTGAGTTTTTTCTCTTTGCGAATTTTCGTCGAACAGTTGGTGGGTCTGGTTTGGTGACCCATAATTGGCACTTCTTTGTCTAGCCCTTTCTTTCAGTTCTCTTTTCCTTTTCAATCCTGAGCTGAGCTATCGAATCCCCTTGTGGGTTTTGCGTTTTTGTTGTGGTGGTTCTTGTGAGTTTGTGGTTTGGTTGATGGTTCTATTTCCTAAGGGGTTGTCCAAAGTTTCTTTTTCTATGGAGAAGATTCTGGCAGAAAAAACGACTCCACCTTTTGTAATGGCAAAGTGGGAGCGGGTTGAAGAAGCTTTTCTGTTGCTGGAGACTGAAAAGTACCCGTCTTTTTGTTTGATTTGATTCTTTTGCAGATAAACACCTGCAATGCATTCTACTGTGAGAACTTCAGGCCAAACAAGTCATACAAGCCTAAGATGTGGACTGAAGCCTGGTCGGGTTGGTAAGTCGCACTGATTACGAGTGAAAGTCCCAAAAAGAATCAAACTGTTGGGTTGATTGATATCTGAATTCTGATCGTGCCATGCAAATTTGCCATCCACCAGGTTCACAGCTTTTGGAAGCCCAGTCCCATACAGACCAGCAGAAGATCTTGCATTTGGTATTGCGAGGTTCATTCAGAATGGTGGCTCTTATGCCAATTACTACATGGTAACATTATTCAACTTGAAACTGTAGATTAGGGTTTGGATGGGTTCTTTGTTCTTAGTTTCCTTCTTGTTGCTGATCATTATTATGTTGGTTGTGTAATTTCTCAGTACCATGGAGGGACAAACTTTGGTAGAACAGCAGGTGGACCCTTTGTGGCCACAAGCTATGACTATGACGCCCCTCTTGATGAATATGGTATGAAGTTGTAGCCATTCCTTCACGCATCATAAAACCTCTAACTACCTCTTGTACCTCACTCATGCATGCAAGATAATGTAGGGCTTCATCTAGCTGGTAACAGCTAAGCTCTTTGTTGGCAAGAGCCATATTTCAGGCTGATCCTTCGTTATCTGGTTGATGTTTTTCAGGTTTGACAAATGAGCCCAAATACTCACACCTTAAACAAATGCATAAAGCAATCAAGCAATCTGAAACTGCTCTGGTTTCTGCTGACGCCACTGTTAGATCACTCGGTAAAAATCAAGAGGTAAGCAAAACCTCAATCTACTCTAGTTTTCTCTTGAAATCTAAAGTTTTTGCATTACTTTTGTGTTGATGCTGCAATTTGGATGTGATCACTGTCTCCAGGCTCATGTGTACAGCTCAAAGTGGGGTTGTGCCGCATTCCTGGCAAACTATGATGTGAATTACGCAGTCAAGGTCAAGTTTGGAAATGGTCAGTATGATCTCCCAGCTTGGTCAATTAGCATACTGCCTGATTGCAAGACTGAAGTTTACAACACTGCAAAGGTGAGGGAAGATAAGTGAGACTTTTTGCATCATTGACTCACAACACTTGCAAAAATAATGTTCTAAACTTTTGTCTGGATGGTAATTACAGGTTTCAGCTCCAAGAGTGCACAGGAAGATGACGTCTGTGGGTGGATTTACATGGAACTCATACATCGATGAGGTTACTTCTGGTTTCGCCAGTGATACAACCACACTGAATGGATTGTGGGAGCAACTTTACGTGACCAAAGATTCTTCGGATTACCTTTGGTACATGACAGAGTGAGTATACAATAACCAATCACTTGCTCATGGTCTCTGCTGCTTCTTTTCTGTGCATCCTGCTGACAGTTTCCTTCTTCCATTCTTGCGATCAGTATCAAGATAGGAAGCAACGAGGCATTCCTGAAGAATGGAAATGACCCTGTTCTCACGGTCCAATCAGCTGGCCATTTTGTCAATGTTTTTGTCAATGGTAAACTCATAGGAAGCGCTTATGGCAATAAAGACGATCCTAAGTTGACTTTCAGCCAGAGTGTCAAGCTAAACATTGGTGTTAACAAGATCGCGTTGCTGAGTGCTTCAGTTGGTCTTGCGGTTAGTGTTTCTCACTCCTCTTTGGAAGTGATCTTGGACTCAATTTGGCTGTGCCATGACTTTTCCCCATGTTAAACCAGAATGTTGGCGCACACTTTGAGAACTACAACGTTGGGGTTCTTGGTCCAGTCACACTGAAGGGATTGAATCAGGGTACAGTTGACATGACAAAATGGAAATGGTCTTACAAGGTTGGTGTGCAAGGTGAGAAATTGCAGTTGAACACCATCACTGGAAGTTCATCTGTGGAATGGTCGGATTCAAAGATGTTAGCTAAAAAACAGCCACTGTCATGGTACAAGGTAAAGTAACTTGCTGAATTACCCCCACATGATACTGTGCTGGATCTTTTGCTGAGATTTGTATGTGATGAAATTTTGGCAGACAACTTTCAATACACCGGAAGGGAACGAGCCATTAGCGCTAGACATGATCAGCATGGGGAAAGGCCAGGTATGGATCAATGGGCAGAGCATAGGACGATACTGGCCTGCATATAAAGCAGAAGGCAACTGCGGCACCTGCTATTACGGTGGTTACTTCTCTGAGAAAAAATGTCTCTCCAATTGTGGACAGCCTTCACAAAGATGGTAAAGGGAGAGAAACTTGCACTGCTCAACTCATTTTCACTGTCCATGCTTTTAGCCTTTTACATATTTTACATTTTGTGTACTGCAGGTACCATGTTCCGCGTTCATGGCTGAAAGCAGGCGGTAACTTGATGGTTGTGTTTGAAGAATGGGGAGGAGATCCGACAGGGATTTCTATGGTGAAGAGAAGCTGAACTGAAGATAAGTATGAAGCATAAGCTGCACACTCACAGTTATGGTTAGTGGCCGAAGGCCTCAAGGAGCCAAAATTGTGCGGTGCTGGGATATTGTACAGGAAATACCTGCATGATTTTCTTTACACCATAAGGTAGTTAGGATGATCTGCTGTGATTGATATTATATTAGTCCTCTGAAAAGCTATTCATTTCAAGCAAGCATTTAGGTTACCTGGGTTTCATTTCAGTCTTCTTTTGAAATCTCTCCAAGCTTGTAAAGGGAATTTACCCATTCCGCTACTCCTTCATATGAATAAAAATTGATGAAGTTAATAAACACCAGCTTCTATGTTCAATTATCTCTCCTACTGTACATACTGATACGGCTGCGTGATCCAGAAAAAGATGGTTTCCAAAAGAAAAGAAAAAAAACTTCACAATATGTGCTTCAAGTAGAAGAAAATTTAGACTTGAGGACATGTATGGCATTCTCCAGTTCTGCCTCAATAAGTGCTACTTCTTGACCTCGGGTTCTCCACTTCTCCAGTCTGCTAACAAGATCCAACAGCGTTTGAACTCCAGCAACTTCGCAGGCGTCGGGCTGGGTTAATCTCTGCACACACTTTATCAGGTATCTCGCAGTTCTTGATTTCACCTTGCAAATATAACTGTCTGCAATACCTACAGTCTCAAACAGTGATTCAGACATCCTGTCAACAATATCAGTCAAGTTGAAGACGAGACTGGCCCCAGCAATAGCATCCTTCATAGCGAACCCTTCATTCCGTCGAACTGAATGTAACATGGTACCAGTGGCTGCATAGTGTAAGAGAAACTCACATCCACTTTCATTTATGTCACTTGAACACCAGCCAGTAAAGATGCCTAATGGTATCCACCTGAAAAACATGCTGACTTGTGGGTCAAAATCACATTCATAGGCTGTATTCTGGTACTCCTGGAGCCACAGGCTGATTGCTTGACAACCATGCTGATTCCCAAAAGTGAACCCCTCCTTGCTTATGTCATCGACTTTGGGTTTCTTAAGTCTCCTCTTTAACCCGAGTGTACGTGTCTCCTGCACACTGGAGACAACTTGTTTCGAAGTCCAATGCCGTGCTAACTTGATTAGATTACCAGAGAGTAGATCTTGACGAGTTTTATCAAAAGGGTTCAAAATCCATGCAAGGTATCTAACAGCTGCATTTTCGCCTACCGTTCCTTCTAAATATAACACCTCTTTGAAACTTTTGTCAGCAAATACTAGAACAGAGGCAAAATAGAACCAACTTGGGAAGCTAATAGCCAGGGACCTGCAGGTAAATATGAATGACATATTAGTTCTTTCCTAGGATAACAACTGTTGCCATCTTCATTTTTCCAATTTCAAAAGAGAGGAGAAATTACCACAGAGATTTGTGATCTAAAAATGCAACTTTAGCTGCAGATGGGTTGATTGATGGACCTGGCTGTTTGAAGTCAGTGATCCAGTTAACTATTTGCAGGAGACCTTCACTAGAGATTGGTCCGGCTAAAGACCTAAGCCAAACATTGTTGTAAGGATAATATGCACTCGAAAATGGAAGCTTTGATCCCAATTCCATTGATATGCCCCACCTTGTTGGTATGGATATTACGTCCAAGACTACCGAAACTAAATCAATCAGAAGTTGCAGTATAGATCTCAGGCCCCTGTCATGTGTTGTAATGAATTAAGTTTCCATTACTAATACGCAGGAATAGTTTCAAAGCAAAAATGAGATGAATATCCAAACATTTGAATTCATGCATGGGAAGCTACAGGTTAGAAGCGGGCCATTCTTGTAGGCACAAGAGGGGGAATATTCTTCATTCATTGAGGAACTTTAGTAATCAGAAAGAGGGAACTACAATTCTTAAGAGGAAACCACACATCTGTAATTAGAGAATCGACTGAATCAAAAGAGGCTGAACTCACGTAAGCAGGAACCAATCATGCAATAAAGCTCTGGTAGCAGTGAACATAGCAGGAGAAAGTACCAAGCATATAAGAATAGAGTGCCAATCCTTCCTTTCATGAAGTTCCTTGGGTAAAGAAAGGAAAGGCCTATTCATAGTTTCTTGCAACATCTCCGAAATATCACGCTTTAAGATCAGTGGATCAAGAAACCAGAGCAACAACCTGTCAAAGGAAGTAACGAGGGACGCAAGATCATTAGTCAAACAATTACAGCACTGCATCAGTTATTTTTGGGGGGAGTCATGTCCCAGCAACACAGCCATCCATAACCACCAAAAACTCAATAAAAACATAGTAGTTAAATGAGGATCCAAGCAAGGATTACTAGACATGTGCGGTCCATAGAGCTAGATTTTGAGCAGCAGTACTGACGGCAGACCTTAATGGTACTTTATCATTCACAGAAGACAATTCTACAGGCAAGTGTGAGACTAGCTTCGAGGCAGCAATGCTTCTTCTGGCACTCAAGTCAGCATCCAAAACCACCATTGATGGGTCCAAATATCTACAGCTTGGCGCGGATACAGCGGCTCTAAGGAGAGCATGTAATAGCAAAAGAGAAGGCACACCTACACTATCACAATCACCACCCCAAGGGTTCAGAGACCATAAGAAACCCAACCCATTGTTTTGAACTAAAAAAAGATTGATTGGTCTCAAAATTGAACGCACGACGGTTTCCCCAGCAACAAACTGGTAATTATGATCAAAATACTTCTCCTTTCTAATCAAACAACATAAATGGCCATAACCTACAACAAGAAATGACAACTCACCGCGCTCCTCCAAGTCTGACAGTGTATCACCACCAACGACATCAATCAGATCGAAGCAATCACGACGAGAAATCGAGCTCCCTACACGAAGAACCTCTTCTTTCCCTAGCCGAAAGACCTTACAGCCTACCGACGAAGACAACACGCTGGCAATCGTCTTCACAGAATACTCGAGAACAGAATCGAACACCTAGAAATGCAATTTTTTTTACCAAATCACGAACGCAAGCCACCTAAAAAGAGGCAAATTCAAAATAATCAAACAGGGGAGAGAGACGAAATACCTGCGGAGCCTTGAAGCACATAAGTGACAGAGCGGTGTCCAAAACCCTAGACGTCGAAGCGCCGTCGTCGTCGTCGTCGAGGTTGAGGGACTGAGTGAGCTTCGCAATAGACAAGTCAAGAGAAGAACTTTGTTCACATTCCTCAGTCGGCGGCTGGGCTTTCAGCTGCAGGGCCAACCCTGAGATGAGTTGGGTAATTTCTTCTAACGTCGCCATCGCTGGTCGGATAATCCCGCCGGGGAGGAGAGCAAGAGTTGGCAGTGGGCATTGGGTGACAATTAGTAATTTTCCCGCCAGAAATGGAACTGAGCAATGGGCCTTATTGAGCTCATCCTTCTCGTTCCCGGCCCAAATTTGGCTGGTTAGTGAGGCCCAGAGGTAGGCAGGCCATAAACTGCAAGACCATTTCTTATTCATCCAACAGATTTAAGATACGTCAACTCCAGAGAGCCAATTGTATTTCCGTAAATCAAATGTTATGACTTATGAGAAGCATAGTTAGACAGACAAAATAAAATGCGAACAACACTTGTGCAACTTTATGAGTAGTTAAGTTGACACTTCTTAGGATAACGAAGAACTCGAAACAAATATTAAAGTTTAGACATGTCGCCATCTAAACACAATCTCGTAATACTGGACCTCCAACCACATCTGAATTCAATCCACAATCAAGTTGAAGAAACACTACTTCGAAATCGAAATGCTTGTTCAAGAGTCACCCCAATGAGTACAAGTTTCAAATCGGGAACATATGATTTCGAGCATTTGCAATTCGACAAGACAGAAGTTAATAATACCATAATGTTGAAACCTGATAGCAAACTGAGAAGTACCATTTTCAGATTTAAGGACTAGGCTTGAAGCACATCCTTCTAGAGCCAGAATTACCCCTTAAGACATGATATATTCTCTCTCAAAAGTGGCAACCACTCCCTCTCTCACTGTAAACTCTTCCAAGTTGAGAAGGCCTTAGTGATTTTCAAACTCGTTATTAACCTTATCGAAGGATCATGAAAGGCTCTTTCACCGACAGTCCGATTACTTACAGACTATCGTGTGTCGTTAGATTCGGTCTTGTATTTTGATTGCCTGGGTTACCGCATTCTTGACATATTTTAGAGAAAAAATGGACCAGATGCTTCAAATGATAATCTTTACACACTAGACGAAAAAATTTGTGACTCGAAGAAATCCCATGTCTTTCTTCCAAGTCTAGAAGGCCTTAGTGATTTTCAAACTTCTTATTAACCTTATGGAAGTGCAAGAAAAGGCTCTTTCATCAGTAGTCCGATTACTTACGTACTATCATGTGTCGATAGATTCGATCTTGTATTTTGGTTGTTTTGGTTACCGCCTTCATGACATATTTTAGAGAAAAAAGGACCAAATGTGTCAAATGATAATTTTTACTCGAAGAAATCCCACGCCTCTATCTCTCTTATTGGATTAGTCTCAAACTCTCTCTTTTTTGTGGAGAAATGGTAAGGTAACTTTAGAGCTTGACGAGACAGAATTCATAGTGAAAATCGAGCCAAGTTTTCTTTCTTGTCCCTTAAGAAAGCAAAGAGCTCAGCTATTCTTGATATAGAAACATAGGTATTGAATCTTTTATGAAAGTGATATTTTATGGGGTTTTTTTTATAACTAAAGGGGGTTTCTTTTGCCATCAAAAGACAATGATAAAGCAAATATTAATGTGTTGATGCCAAGATGATAAGTTACTTAAATCACTTATCTTTGCTTTGAACATCATGATGTCGTCTTTTGGTTTGGAAAAAGAAGAGTGATATCGTATCAAGCCAATGAAAAGTGGTCAGTACTACTCATTAAACCATATAAAAGAATGGGGCTTTTAACTAATGACTCCAAGTGAAAGCAAGATTCTTGATTGATTAAATGTATAGTGGATATACAAGATTGATGACTCAAGAAAGCTGAGCCAAGATTACATTTGGCACATAACCAATGGTCTTGGGCCATATGTAAAGAGATTTCATCATCATGTGGTTGTCAAACTAGGGTTTCTAAGTAAAATCAATAGGCATTAGGGATGAAGAATAGAGTAGAAAACAAAATGAACCCAACTCCTCTCGCTTTTGCTAAAGTTAGCATTTTCAAGGTTTAGGAACAAAAGGAACTTCATTTATGATTTTTTTTTCTTTAAAAAATGAATTTTTCATCTCTTGAGATTTTAGCTGGTAAGTTATCTCTTGAGATTTTAGATTACAAAAAAAAAAACTTAAAATAAGTTGAGACATCTCGTTTATGTTCATTCCGTCAAGAAACTTGACAGTTGGTTCTAGTTACTTGACTTCTTGAAAGAAGTTCCAAAACAAATATTATATCATATTCCCTAAATTACCACTCATACGAAAGCCAATTAAGAGTTTGAAGTTTGCACAAATCATTTGTACCTTGTGTTTAAAAGAACTATCAATATAAGAGGTCATGGAGATTTGAACTGAAGACCTCTTGGTCATCGTCGTTTCCAATATCATATCAGCAACTAATTGTTCTAATAACTTGAGTTGTTGGGAGAAATTCCATAGTGAATCTTATATTGTTTCCTTACAATAACTAGCTGAACTATTCAGAGTCGTGAACAGCCATACAAAATCCAGTGTCAAAGTATAGGACCTAAAGACCGATATAGTCTCGCCAACCCCTGTGATTAAATAGTGCAACTTCTCAATGATAGTTGTATGCTGATGATTGTTATAGTACGTACTCTCTGGAGCAACGAATGTACATCGAGAGTCTAATTGCACTTGTACCATTTGGTGCCTAGCATCTCTTGCCAACTGCAACTGCAACCACAACAACAAAATGTTACTGAACGGAATCGGTACTTTACACATATTCTTTTTCCCAACAAGAAGAGCATTATATATGGAGAAACATTTCTGCTTGCTTGCTTGCTTACTTTTGGTGGATAATGTGTAATGCAAAGAGACGAGTCCATGATTGCAACTTTAGTAGCTTAAAGTGGAAAAATCACAAACATGCACAAAAGAAAAACAGGAACACCCCGTCAATTAGCTAAAACAGAAGAAAGCAATTGAGTACGTAGCTAGCAAACATAAAAGCATTTGGAGATGGAACATGCTCCCATTAACAACCGGCCATTTGGCCACCGCTAGCTCACCGGTCAATTCAACACATCCAATCTCTAGCTAAGATGTAAGGGATTCAAAAGAAAATTTGCAATTAGAACTCTTTCCATTTGCACACCCACTCATGTGGCATCGAATTATTGGTGTATTGCCTCTTTATCAATTGGGTGGGGAGCAAAAGGGAACAGAGAAAAGAGGAGAGGGGAAATCATTGTTGTTTTGCCTTAGGATATCTTAGATTCACAACCAATGAGGAAGGAAAGGGTAGCTGAGGGAGGAGGAGCACAATGATAGAAGGCTAGCTCCCACTAAGGTAATGAGAATTCAACATGTGGGATTATGGTCATAAGATACTTGAAAATGATTTTTGGACAAGATGATTATTTGTATCTAATTGTTATCCTCTTTAAGACGGAAATGAAAAGATGTATTAGTGGATGGATACGTAAAGATAGTAACAAATGCAACGAAACTTTATAATATGTTGAGAGAGCAAGGCTTTGAATGAAAGAAACATAGAAAAGAGGAAAGGGAAATCATTGTTTGTTTTCCCCTATGATACATCTTAGATTCACAACCAATGAGGAAGGAAAGGGTAGTTGAGGGTGGGGGAGGAGCACAATGATAGGAGAGGGCTCTCACTAAGGTAATGAGAATTCAACATGCGGGATTATGGTCATATGATAACTGACAACGATTTATGGATAAGATGATTATTCATATCTACTTTTACCTCGCTTAAGAAGGAAATGAAAAGATGTGTAAGCAGATTGATACCTAAAGATAGCAACCATTGCAATCGAAACGTTATTATGTTCGAAACATTGATGCATAAAGATAACAACAATGGCAATCGGAACTTTTACAATATGTTCGGGAGTAAGGCTTTGAATGAATAAGAACTAATAGAAAAGAACATACACGTCATCTCATATTCAAATCCACCATCAAACTTTTTTTCCCATATGGATCTATCATTGTTGATGTACATAGTACTTCTGCCTAATCTAACATTGTGGGAGGGTTGATTGAACTAGAGTCTAGAGCTGCCCACAAAAGACTGAGAGAGAGAGGACACAAAAGAGACAGCAAAATGGGCCATTCTCAGAGTTTTTTCCAGCCGACCAAATTGCCACAATAATGGAGGGAAGGGTAAGGACTAAGGAGTCTATATATACAAGAGAGATAGCTTGATTTGACCATACAGTGTCCCCGACCCACATGCACGCACAAAAGTTCCATCCTAAAGGGACATCAAACGGGACATAGATCACCTCTCCATTAGCCCTATGTAAATATGGAGCTATGATGTCTTGATGAGAACCCGTTTGTACACATGTATATGTGTATTACATTATGTTCTCGTGTATCAATTCGTCCCTAGGAGTGGATCTTACCATATTATATTTCGATTGTGAGTGGTAGTTCTCAAGTCTCACGGTTGATGTTCATGGTCAAAGTCACGACTACCTGTCCTGAAAGTCGCGGTCGTGAATTATCAGAGTTGGGGATCAAAATCATAGCCAGCCATTCGGAGAGTCACGATTGTGACTTATCAACTCTCGATCGTGACCTTGATTCTGTCATACTCTAGCCGTCTATTAATGTCTTTCCTACTTTGTCAAGAAAGAAAACATGTGTTAATGTCCTTCTTGAACTAGGTTTATGTGTTCTTTTGGAACTCTAGTTTCGATTGTCCAGCAACGTCCCTCTAATCAATCTCATGTATAAGGCTTAGCTAAAGTCTTTCTAAGCATCCTCTCTACTCTGATATGCTTTCAAGCAGTAACTGGTTTAAAGATTGTTATAAACGCGCTGCTACGGATCGGGAAATCGCTGGAATCGGCAAAACAAGAATACGAAAGCGAGAATCGAAAACACAGACACACGATTTACGTGGTTCACTAACACGATGTGTGTTAGCTACGTCCACGGGCGAGAAAGAGCCAGTTTCACTATATCAAGGAGATTACAGATTACAGAGGAGAATGAGAAGTATTTATAGTACTTCTCCATGTGGGTCTAAACCTAATCCAATCTGGCAAAGGAAACAGTTACAGACTAGGCCCAGAACCCGAACTCAAATAACATTGAGCCCATACACTCGCTGACCGGGCAGCGAGACCCCCGATTACCAATCGTAGCGGCTGATAATCCGATGCAAGTCACATCAACAAATCTCCACCTTGACTTGAATCCTCTTCCTCTGAAATCTCTGATGTACTCTGCTCCTTCTCTCTCTCTCCCGCCATCAATGCCCCGCAGGGCGGAGTCACCCACTCAAGACATTCAGCAAGTCCAAGCAGTGTTGGAACTTGCCATGTGGAACCGGCTTCGTGAACATATCAGCAGGATTATCCGCGGTGCCAACCTTCTTCACCTTAATCCTCTTCTCTATCCTCAAGAAATGATACCTCACATCGATGTGCTTAGTCCTCTCATGGTGGACTTGATCCTTGGCCAAGAATATTGCACTCAAACTGTCACAATACACCACTGCCCGATCATGATGTAGACCCAGATCACCAACCAGTCCCTTCAACCATATTCCCTCCTTAGCAGCTTCTGTCAACGCCATATACTCTGCCTCAGTAGTAGACAATGTCACCGCCGACTGCAAAGTTGCCTTCCAGCTCACTACAGAACTCCCAAGAGTGAATACATAACCGGTCATCGATCTCCTCGTGTCAACATCTTCAGCATAGTCCGAGTCAGAATACCCAGACACCAAACACTCTGTATCACTTCCGAAGCTAATCCCCACATCAGGTGTACCCTTAAGGTACTGGAAGATCCTCTTCACAGCCTGCCAATGCTCCTTCCCAGGTTGTATCATAAACCTGCTGACAACACTAACAGAATGTGCAAGATCAGGTCTAGTGCATACCATAGCGTACATCAAGCTACCTACTGCACTAGCATATGGGACTCTCGACATGTACTCCTTCTCAGCCTCTGACTGCGGTGCATAAGCTGAGGATAGATGAACATTTGAAGCACTAGGAGTATTTAAGGGCTTTGCTGAAGACATGCCAAACCTCGACAGTATCTTCTGGATGTAGCTCTTCTGTGACAAGAAAAGCTTCTTCTTCGACCTGTCCCTGTAAATCTCCATACCCAAGATCTTCTGAGCAGCTCCCAAATCCTTCATCTCAAACTCAGCACTGAGAAGCCCCTTTAACTTCTGGATATCAGACTTTGACCTTGCAGCTATGAGCATATCATCCACATACAGAACAAGATACATCATCGAACCATCCTCCACCTTGTTGTGATACACACAACAATCATATGGACTTCTGCTATAGCCCAGCTCAAACATGTAACTGTCAAATCTCTTGTACCACTGCCTCGGAGACTGCTTAAGTCCATACAAGGACTTCTTCAGCTTACAAACATAGTCTTCTTTTCCCGGGACCTCGAATCCTTCTGGCTGAGTCATGTAAATTTCTTCCTCCAACTCTCCATGTAGGAAAGCTGTCTTCACGTCTAGCTGCTCGA